ATCTGAGGATAGAGACAGAGGGGTGGAGTGTGAGGGAGAACTGGAGAGGGAGACAGAAGCTGGACGATGCAGGGGTTGGTGGGTCATGGTGAAGTGCTTAGATTTTCATTCTAACTGGGGTGGGGGAGCGATGGACACAATAAGGATAACTGGTAGGCAGGGATCATCAGCACAAAGCAGGTTCTTAAAAATAGTGCTAGTATTTAGTAAGCATTGCAAATATTATGGGGAGTGCAGTCGATGCTGTGTGGAGGGTCCAAGGAAAACCACAAAGCTCAGAGGTGGCGGGCCTATGATCCTGAGTCCACCTTGGACAGCCCAGAGGGAGAAGCGACTATGGGGTCACTGGGTGTGAACCTTGACAGTGACTTAATGTTCCCTAGCTTTATCTTCCTGTGGCTCTCCTACGCTTTTCGAGGGTAACACTCACCACCTAACACTCACCACCGCCTAAAAGCATGTCGTCACTCCTCTAGCTCTTCCGCCACAATAGAAGCTCATCAGCAGGACTTGGACAACTTTCTTCATCCAACTCTCTTGTTGTCATTTCTTTAATTAATTCCTCCTACCATTCTTAAGCAGTTATTAAAATGTTATTTTTTCAATTCTTTTGCTCTGGTTATAATTCACTCAAATTGATGCCATTCTACAGCATTTGAAGCTTAGAATTTTAAAATTATCACTATCTACCCATAACTTCTAATTTGGTGATACAAAGTAATCCAATAGGTAGAAAGTGGTATTTTCCATGTGCTAATGCAATCTAATGGGGTACCTAGGTACTGGAGAGAGAACATACCAACTTGAAAATGCTTAAGTAAATATTGACATAATACACTGGTTGAATTTATTCTGCTTTTTTCATATGTGAACGCAGGGATCCAGCTTAAAAAAGGACACTTAAACAAAAAGCCAAGAAACCTAAACAATATAATGAACGAGAGGAGAAGTGGTTAAAAGCACACTGTGGCATTGGGAGAAAAGAGTTTTGAAAGCAAATGGGAAGGGGTGGCAATGGGGCAACTCAGGGTCCCCCAGTCTGCTTGAACCCCAGCAGTTCTGGTTACCACCTATCAGGCTTTCGCTAAAGAGAGAATGTCTCTAATGAATAAAGAAAAAATCTGAAAAACTGAAAAACACCTATCCCCGATCGAGGAAATCAGGACTCAAGGATCATGTGTTAAGTGGAGGAATTGTTAACAAGTTCAATGTTCCTTCCAGTATACTATGTCATTGCTGTTATTTCTAGTTAAAATTACACAGTGGACATTTTACAAATCAGATCTTGGTCAGCAGTGCACAGTTTTTCCATGAAGTTCTAGTCATTGCAACGTCCAACTAACAAAAATCTTCATTTTTAAAAAAACAGAATCAGTTACTATACATATTTCAGCTACTTCAATGTATTTTTATGAAGACCAAGAAAAAAATTAAACTTCACTGTTGTCCTCCACAATTGGGTCTCATCATTTTAATAGAGTGAGGTGATAAAAGGTTGACAAAGGAATTACCCATTTAGCATCTTGGTTCTTCACTGGACATTTATTTTAATAAGATCAGCTGATGAATTCTGTGTCTAGCTTAGGCATGCATTGTGTTATTTTTTTGAAAATGGTTCCACTGCAAGTTGCGAGTTCTTGAACTACCTGTGGAGTTATGGAAAGTCAGTCAAACCCAGTGTGTAACAAACAGATCACCATACTAGGTTTTAGGTACTGTGTAACTCAATGGGGGAACAGACGTAAATGGCACATTTGTGATCCACCTGTCATAGGAAATCTAATTAGAAATTAAATTCTAATGGGGAAGACACAATAAAGCACGTGATTTAAACAAGGTGCCACCACATCAATGGAGGGTGAGAAACCTGCCTTTAAATGGGAGTGGACAGAAGGCTTAACAGAGGTAGTGACTTTAGCTCACTCCTGAATGGGTGCAGCCAGCCAGAGGAAGAATGAGAGAGAGAGCCTTCCAGCAAGGGGAATCTGGTGTGGAGTGGGATGAGGTGAGGCTTAATTAAAAATGAACTATGCAACCTTTTAAATCATGGCAAGACATTTGGATTGTATCCGAAGGACAATGGAGAGTCTTAAGGATGAAGCAACAGAGTTGGTTCTAGTTGAATTAACACATCAGGCACATGGACCTTAAGGAGCCAGCAGGAATGGGTAGAGGGGGAAATACCCCTGGCCAAAGACAAAATCTCATCACTTCCTAAGTGGAGCTAAGGCCACTGCAGAAACGTCTCCCCTGCCACTGCCAACTCCTGGAATGTCCTTGGGTTGGGAAAGATACAGCCCTGCAGTAACTGGCAGCTGGAAATGAGGCAGCTCAGCTCTGAGGCTGGTGAGCTACAGTGGCCACTTGCAGGTATGGCTGCACAGGTGTCCGAGGACACATTTCCACCGTGGGAAACAGAGTCGGGCGTTCGTTCTTCTTACCCCCAAAGGCCAGGAACCTCGGTCCTTTCTTGACACAAACCACTTCTACTGAGACCTTAGTGCACAAGGGGGGAGCCACATCATTTTGGATGATGCCACTGGAACGTAAATTCTCTTACACACTACTCTTCTGGGGCTGCCATAACAAAGTACCACAAGCTGGCTGGTTGAAATAGGAGAAATCTGTTTCACAGTTCTGGAGGGTTTTAGTTCAAAATCAAAGGGTCCTCAGGGTTGGTTCTTTCTGAGGGCTGAAGGACAATCTGTCCATGCCTGTCTCCTTGCTTTTGGTGGTGTGCTGGTCATCTTTGGCATTTCTTGATTTGTAGAAGCAACCAGGATACCATCTACATTGGATTAGGGCTCACCCTAATAATCTGGGTTTAACCTTTCTCTATTAAGACATGCTGGGGTTTAGGATTCCAATATACTGTTTTGTTTTTGTTTTGTTTTGTTTTTTGGAAAAGGTGATCCAATTCAAGCGGTAATACCTTGAAATGTTAAGTCAAAAATTAGATAGTTATCTAAACTCTGGGCCCAAAGTGTTATCATATAGAGATACCATGGAGAAAAAAAAAAAACAAACCCTTCCTTTGGCTATTTCATGCTTTCAAATTAAATTTGCCAAATAAAACACAAGAACAAAATGAAAGGTTTGGTTACTTGCTGATGCAATGTAAATGTTTAACACTGCCATAAAAATGAAACTTAACTGCAGCTAATGGGTATATTTTCTTTTTATCCAATTTAACAATTGTGGAGATAACAAATTAGAATTCTTCCATACTTGCTCCTAAAGAAAACTTTGTAACAGGACCAATCTTGACCGTGTCTAAAATATGTCTACAGCTAATGAGAAGTTGGAAAGCTCTTACACACACCTTGTCACTTAAGCACTTTTTAAAAAGTTTAAAATCAAAGGAATAAAATCAACAAATGGGCTCTGTATGAAATTACCTTTGGCTCTTTATAAAGATTTCTTCAGGTGGAGGTTTTCTGCCACCACAAAAATAAATGTACAAAACTCCAGTCATCACTTCATTATATATACATATTTTAAAGATTTTATTTTTGGACAGAGGGGAAGGAAGAGATAAGGAAACATCAATGTGTAGTTGCCCCTTGTCCACCAGCACTGGGCAGGTACCTGAATCCCAGGCATGTGCCCTGAGAATCAAACCTACAACCCTTTGGTTCGCAGGCCAGTGCTCAACACACTGAGCTACACCAGCCACAGCCACTTCATTAAAACCAGAATAATCACTGATAGTGAATGTAACAAAACTAGAATTGACACACTTAGAGAATAGGTAATCTGGTTTACTGAAATTTTCAATTGAAGAAACTAACAGAGCTAACATGCTTTCTGTTGTACCCATGGTTGGTTGGTATATTTCATGCTTTTTAAAAACTCATGATGGTGAATTGGATCTTGTACCATCAGACAGCCATTGCAACAATCCATTGTCTCTAGAGCTAGGTAATATTCTCTCCACAAATTGCTTTCCTGATTGAATGAATTCCTTAACGAAACATAGTCAAATAATTTTTCATTGTGTATGTGACTTCAATCCTCCACTCCCCAAACCTGATTAATTTTAGAATTCTAGTTCATTCAGAATAGACAGTAATCTGAAAATTCTTCATGAATCTTACTTCTTTTAAAGTTTCAAGCACAAAATGTTACATTTTTCCTAGGCATCAAAAATAAGAATACGTTCATTTTAACTATTGGCCACAGTGTCTTCCTTTAGTTAATAAAGTGCTGATGCTATTTTACATGAAAATAATAGCAAACACAAAGAGCACTTACTATGTCAGGCATTTTTCTAAGGGGCTTAACAGATATCAGTGTAACACTTGCGGCCATTCTTATTACACATGGCAGCTGTGGGAATGAAGGTGCAGGGAAGTTAAAGTAACTTGTGCAAGGATACAGAGTTAACCGTGAACCTACGAATTAAACCAGGGTAGTAAGGCCCTGGATTGTACTCTCAATCACTTACCCTGCTGCCTCTCTTAAAATAGCACAAGAGTTTTTCTTCTGTAGTTATATTTTATGAAAGACAAAACAAAATACAGGAATTTGAAGTTTCAAGCCAGTAACCCACACGGATTTTGCTTTTACCTCATTTAAAAGTTATCTTATACATAGCTTTCAAAAATGCATCTGTTGTGCAGTTACATCGCCTTTTTCAGATCCAAGGAACAAGAACATAACTAATACAAATTTATTTTAAATAAGCCTTAGACGCAGAATTGATAAAGTCATCTATTAAAAAAGTGTTAAATCCATTTTGGATATTCTTCTTCTTTACCTCAAACTACAGAATTAAAGTAGATGCATACTGCTCGTTAATAGTTTTAAAAACAATGTCCAGATACAAATCAGTTGGAAAGTTCTTGACAATTTATAAGCAAGTGATTTGTTTTTTTCCACTATCTAAATACAACAGAACTGCATTAACCATGACATAACACTATTAGCGAAATTTTGGACAATAAAAAGTATAAAACCAGACTGTTAGCAGAGGAGACAACAAAGTATAAGTTAGAAAATCCATAAACATACATTTATTCAGGAAATACAATTACTACAGTCCTTAATATTTTAATGACCATTCCACATAAAATATTCACATGTATTCTTTTAAGTCTACACCAAGCCATGCTGATATTCTTTCCTGATAAGCCATAGCCATTTCTTCTATTAAATACTATAATACCCATTTAAATTGTAAACAAAGTACTTGAACCAAACTATGTTAAGTACTTGAACAACTTTCAAAAATTTTGAAGACAGTAATTTTGTTAAAAACATCTGAATTATCCAACCCCAAAGAACTAGGCCACTATAATCTAGTATATTGCTAATAAAGTGGCCATGTTAAGACTGCATATAATTATAAAGGACATTACTTCTCATCTGCAATTTTTAAACATGCTTTCTCAAATGATAAACATTTACCTTTTTAAGTTTTAAAAAGGTGAAGGGAATAGAAAAATGACAGACATTAAAGGTTTGTGTTTAAACTACTAGCAAATTTTTAAAAAAGGTAGACTATAATTATTTCCCAAAGAATGCCATGTACCTTTTGTTCCTAAACAAATTAATATAACCAATCACTGTATTTGCTACTTAATAGTAGCTGTAAATTACTGTATTCTGATACTTCCAAACGTAGTCCAGTGTAATTAGAACACTTTGTAAAGGGGAAAATTAGTGGTTCTCAACCCTACATGTCCTTCAGAACCACCTGGAAAGTTTGTAAAAAAAAATGAGCACCTGGCCCCATCCTCAGAGACTATGATTTAGCTGCTATGGGACAGGACTCAGGTATCAATCTGTTTTAAAGTTCTGCAGGGTATTTTAATAAGCTAAGGTTTAGAATCGTGTAGTTAACCCATTTTGAAATACCAAAAAAAAAGGAAATTGAGAAAAGGTAATAATTATATTTATAATCTACAAATCAAACACCTATTACATATTTACTAATGTGCCTAGTTATATTCATGAATCATACATTTATTAATGAAAAATTCCTTCATTTCCTCACAATACCAAACCACTACTGTATATCTCTGCCATTGAATGATTGACTCTTTTCTACAGTCAGGATTTAAAACTCTGGGATACACTGTGAAAACTGCTTTAATGAAAACAAACTACTGCTATTCATGCTCAACAGTAGCAAGCAGAACTACTGTATGTGGCTCCTTTAAGCTATCTTTAAGAATTATAAATAAGTGCCAACCCACACAAAGAACAGATTGTGGATTACTATAGAAGAAAAAAATAGCTTACTCAACTTATTAAGTTTCAACACCAAAAAAGATTTGACTTGGCTGCAAGTTCTGAAACAGCTGAGATTCTGAACCAAGAAGCTATAATTTATAATGAAATGTTGACACGCCCTTAAAAGCTACTGCAGCTGTAGCTATACTAAAATAAGACTTCTTTAGGGTTTACTTACCCTGTAATGCAAGAATACGAGCATATTACTGTTTTTATATGCACCAATACCTCTCTCTAATATACAAAGCTCTACAACAAATACCTCTAATAATTTTACAATTAAATTAAAGTAAGTCCATAATTCTCCTACACTACTTTGGTCTCAACATTCAAAAAACATTAATTAATTTGAAAATATACAATTTAACAACACTCCTAGCAATAACAAGCACATTTTGTAGTGGACTAAAGACACATTCAACCATGCAATCCAGTGTTCAATACCTAAATGATAAATAACAACGCTGATTGGCTTTTATTCTGAAAAGTCACTGAAAACTGGAATAATCTTTTAAGACTCACAGTGCTCACAAACATGCAAAATAAGGTACACATTGCTAGTCTTCCTGAAGGAATGTTACAAAATGCCCACTTTTAAAACAAAGTCTAAAGTTCTCATATATTTCAAACAATTATCTTCTCTTTAGCATCTGTCACTTAAAAAAAAATCATACAAATGTTCCTATAAGTTGTGACCAAAAATGAACTCAACTCTCTCATTTCAACTTTTAAAATGAGCTCAGTCACAGTCTTACACTAAAGCTGCCTTTCAGTAAAATAGTGACATCCAGTGGACAACTGAGAGTACCTCTCAGAGTTCCCCTCATTTGAATCAGAAACAAAGATCATCTCTAAATCCAACCATTTTAATATGAATAAATTCCTACTCATTCTGACAAGTCTGCAGATTCTTATGAATACATCACCTCATAATTTCTGTATATCTTAAATATATCCTTCTATAATCCTATTTAAAACCAAGTCTTTAAACTGACCTACCAAGAGTGTGTAACTCTTCAGACTAGTGATATTAAAGTACTACTTTTTCTTCTTTGCTTCCACTATTTCCCATCACAAACTAAATGGCTCATCTCTAGGAATGGAAGGACTAAAATACAAGAAACATATTTAAACAGAAATGAAAAGCATTAAAAAAATTTGCAAAGAATGCACCCAAACCTGTTTTTGCATTTGTAATTTAACATACTGTTGAATACAGAGACCTAATCAGTAATGCTAAAAAACAAATTATATTCTCTTGCCTTGCTGCTCAATTACGAAAGAATACATATTTTAGCAATGACTGTTTTAGTGTTTAAAAATTTACTTTTATAAATCAGTATAAATGCATATTCATTTACATTGTTTAAATAAAAATAAAAAAACTTCCACTGTGCTGAGTTGATTTACCAATGACTATACATATTATGTTGTGTTCAAAGTACAAAATACAGCAGTGATGTTAACATTGACAGTGTAATAAACTGTTGTAGCTGAAACTGTTACATTTAATTTCCTGGAAAACCATAAAGAAATTTTACAGGTTAAAAAAAAAATAAAGTAAGCAAAAAAGAACTGGAGAACTGTTGTTTTTAAATAAGCAGCCAAATAAAGAAAACTTTTTTCCTCAAAAAAAGAATAAGAATGTAAGATACATCTTAATATTTAAAAAGTGTTTTTAAAAATCTATAACAACTTTATGACAAAATCTGCATTTGAAAAAAGGCCTGTAAAAAGAGGACAGAATTGCCCTCATCACCTTTTACTTTTTCTTATCAGAAAAAAAGTATATGCATCTCTGGAACCACAAATGATTTTAAAACGGGCATTTATAAAATGACAAGGAGATTTCATGGGAAGTTTCTGGTATTTTTTGTTTTTGTTTTTTTACAATCATTGGCATTGCGGCCATCAGTAGGTCACAAGTAAAACTTCTCTAGCTGGAAGCAAAATGGAATACAAAGTTCTGAACTGCATTAGGTCTGTTGTCTGCGTTTGGCTGATCTCATTTTTTCAAAACGTGACTCCATTTCTTCTAAAACCTTGGGTGTGTATCGTACTACTAATTTAACCTTTCCTTGAGCAGCTTTTAGCAGTTCTACGGCTTTTTCATGATGTTCTCCTTCAACACTCTAGAAAAAAAAACACACACACAATTAATATCTAGGTTTTGTAATTCATCACTCAAAAGGCAAAAATACTTAAAATGCATATAGTAAGAAATTTTTAATGTTATACCATTTCAACACTAGAAACCTATGAATTAACCCAGCTTTATCATTTTAATCTGTATGAAATCCTCTGCTAAATTATTTTCTGTTGGTACACCAGGAACTGGTTTCTAAAATCCAAATAATTAGCATATCAATCTGCATGCCCTGTTATTCCACTAAGCAAGAACTAAATCAAGACAGTAACATTCTAAAATGAGGGGTAGATTTCTAATTTAATGTGACTACTTTAAGAGCTTGATTACTACTAAAGAGCTTAATCTTTTCATAAAAATCACACTAAGCATTGCTAATTTACATTGGAAAAAAACCAAAATACACTTGAAGTGCTCTGAACCAGGTCATAATACTAAATAGTACTGCCTTGGCTCCCCTCAAGGGATTTCTTAACTACAAAGCTTCCAAACCCCTCTCCACATCTTCTGTTTCTGTAATGCATATACACCTCCAAGTGGTCACAACGCATTACTACAAATAGAAATAAAACACCCTTACCACTCCATTAACAGAAAGAAGTTGATCTCCTCGCTTGAGGCCCCCATGTCTATCAGCAATCCCTCCTGGAATTATTCGAGATATATAGATCGGAGAGTTTTGTTCTTTGCCTCCCATAATATTGAATCCAAGGCCCTCTTCTGTTTTTGGCAGCTCAACAACTCGAGGATGAGAATGTCCTTCGCTGGCAGCAAATGCAGCAACAGTAGCCTGAATGAAAGAAAATTTTTATATCTTTAATAATATAACCTTTGTTTTACTTTAGATCTTTAGTCTCTTCTTAACTATCTTCAAAGTGCATATTTTGATATTTGAATAGCCACAAATTCACTGGCAGTTGTAAGGAGAAAGTAAGCAAAGGGAATGGTGTTTGAGAGAGAATGGCTGGAAAGCATACCTTCTGACTATGTAGGAGGTACTCAAATCAGTCCATCCAGTACCCAGGACTGTGCAGCACTTGGCATGCAGGCCGCTGGGCAAATCAACAGTGACATTCAAGAGGAGAATGCCTCCTCCAGCATGTGGGCAATCTTGGGCTTTGGGGCTGGACAGCCCAGCTCCTTCAAGGCCCTTTGTGCAGGATGCAGCCTATCTACATAACCTACAAGGAGGTAGGTGTCCTTATATGCAGTCATTTTTTTACTGCTGTACTATCTGTTCTTTACACTAAATAACTCATCAAAAAAAAAAACCCCTCAATATCAAGGAGTACATATAAACATGAATGTTTTTGTTGCTCTAGTTAATTACCTAGTTAACTAGAACCCCACAGAAGATGAAACAGAGCCGCATCTTTAAAACTTTCAAGTTTAGAATAATCTAGACTAAATCTAACACAAAGGTGATACATGGAGTTTCATTTTGCTTTTAAGGATAATCTGTACAACTTTTTTTATGATGGATCAAGATCTATGAGCAAAAATGGGAAGGGGAGAAGGAAATCAAGATTTGTTGAATACCACTATGTTCTCTGCTTCAAAAGAAGTCCCATTTTACAGATAATGGAACTAAGGCTCCAATTTCCAGTAAGCTGTGTAGGTCAGCGGTCCTCAACCTTTTTGGCACCAGGGACTCGTTTTGTGGAAGACGATTTTTCCACAGAAAGGTGGGGTGGGGGCAGATGGTTTGGGGATGATTCAAGCACACTGCATTCAAGCTCACTTTCTACTGTGAGGCCCATATCCTAACAGGCCTGGACCAGTACTGGTCTGTGGCTTGGCGGTTGGGGACCTATAGTGTAGGTCATATAACTCAGGAATTAAAGCCAAGTTTCTGTGGTTGTTTTGTATTCTTTCAAACCATACCCACATGTTTCACTGTTTGTATTCAACAGAGAATCTAGTATTTCCTTTTGTCAACTGGTAACTACCAATGAAAAATTATCTGCTAATAACTAATTCTAGTATAAATCACCTACTGCTGACATTAACTTATTCTAACCACATATGATGAACACTAAGATCAATGCCAGAACTATTTGAGGGAAACGTCGGTACAGCAAGCACATAAAACCTGCCAGTGCGGCTCTAAAGAGAGAAGCTACTACTGGCATTACTCCCTCTTTGCGGTGTTAGGTACAGAAAACAGAGAAACCTGGGGAAGTACCACACTCAGCTCTATCATTCACTACTTGTGTAGTCTGAGGCAGGTAACTTAATCTGATGCTTCCTCACCAATAACATAGGGATTGTAATTCATACCTCAAAACTTAGATGAAAATTTACTTAATTGATACAATTAAATATGTACACTGTACATAACTATGAATTATATATATGTATTATTATTTGTGTGCAGCTGTATTTTTAAGGCATTAACTAATCTACATGGTAGATTATTTTTGTAAAAACAATAAAAAAGGTCCTATTTCTCAGTACTTGAGATAGTCAGTGTAGACTGAATGACACTGTTAGTTTTCAAAATAAGCCTATTATGAATCTAACAACTGCAGATTTAAAACCTCTAATTTTTAAACAATTCTCTCATTTTTAAAAATGAAAGTTTTTTTTTGGGGGGGGAGAGGGGAAGGAAAGGAGAAAGAAAGGGAGAAAAACATTGATGTGTGAGAGAAACATCAATTGGTTGCCTCTCGAATGCCCCACTGGGGACCTGGCCCAAAACCCAGGCATGTACCCTGAATGGGAATTGAACTGACCACCTTTTGGTTTGCACGATGACGCCGAATTGACTGAGTCACACCAGCCAGGACAATTTTCTCATTTGAATTAAATAAAAAATTTACCTTTGCAGTTGCATTAGCTCTCACTTCAGGACTGCTGCTGATGTCCACAGTCTCATAGACATGTTCATATACCTGTAAAACCCAAAGTGAATGATAGTGAAGTTCAGAAAATACCATGCTTGAGTTCTATGAAGTCATGAATGTGTTAAAATTTTAGGAAAAACTATGCATCTGTGTAAAATGCTTTTCTATTCAGAAATTCCAAAAAATGCAAAGCACAGATTCTAATGTTTTTCTAAAGTTTGTTTTCTTAAGAAATTCTGAGCCCAAATTTCAGAGTAGTATCTAATTAATTCAAGTATTTAGTAAATTTTAATCCCATGAACTCACCTCTCTTACAGCATTGCAGAATTCACTTTGAAGGACTCTTTGTAAAGCCTGAAGTTTCTGTGGTGGTACCTCTCCACTCCTTTGTAGTTTTTCCAACAATTCAATTGCTCTACATATATCTAGAGTTAAACAAATATGCACTGATAATTTTCCCCGAAGATTCTCTAAATATGTATGTAACAGTGTAAGAGTTAAGATTAATTCTTTAAGGACTAACAAGAATATGAAAAACAGATAAATAAAAGCATAAAAGTAAGCTTGTGTGTGTGGGGTGTACATATACACACGAGGACAGGAATGTAAAAATCTAAGAATGCTAAATGTTGTAATAGATTAGAAAGAAATACCGATATTGCGTATGTACAAAATCTCAGAAAAAGCATCTTTGAGAGATAGGAAAACAACATAAAATACTAAATGTCACAGGAAAGAACTGGAGCTAAAAAATGTGATACATGAATGAACACTGTCTACGCTTCAGAGAACCTGACAGTGTTATCAGTAACTACTGAGTTAATAAAAGTTCACCTATCATTATTAGTGATCAAAAGACTGAACAGTACAAAACACCGTGTGCTAGTGAAATCACTGCTCGTTTCCCAAAGAAAAACACAATACATATGTAAATATCAACTATTCAATTACAGATGTAGTTAGTGGCAGAGATACATTTATAACAATGGTACAAATGAGTAACATAACTTAGAATCAAAACAGTGTTTTAATTAAGACAATCAAATACATGTTTACAAAATAAAAAATTAAGAACAATTTCGCCAATCTGGTCTCAATACTAGCTATGTGATCTTGGGCAAATTACTTAACCTCCCTGTGTATCAGTCTTTTTACTGTAATATTACTGGATGACTAAACCCATCAAGTATGCATGTAAGAAGCATAAATGTTATGTTACATTTGGCATCAATTAATCATAAGAAACAATACACATTTTCACACATATATTAATCATGTCAGACAATTCTCATTGAGAAGTGTGAGAATAAGTGTTTTATGAATCAAAATTTTATGAGATTCAGAGTCATGTTACAACACTGTTAACAATTTTCTTTACTTCCATTTTTTTCTTAACTGTTTTTGTACCCCTGAGAACTAGAGTACTTATTATTCTACTATTCCTTTCCTCCTTTTAGGTGGAAGGAGTTCTCCTTAAAATTTTATATTATACCAGAGAACAAGAACTTTCCCTATACAGAATTAATATGGCTTTCTGCTGGGAATGTTAAATAGAGTCTGTCATACAGAATTCTAAGAAAGAATCAGAGTTGATGTATTGACTTTATTATCCTGCTAAATGGCAGCCACAAGTAATTCATCATACTAAGGTGCTGAACATTCTACTGTGGATCTCAGAACAACTCTGAAATAGTGAAAAACAAATCCATGACTACCAAAACTAAATGCCAGAGGTTACAATTCACAAACTGCACTGCCTAAAAATACAAAAGACTACCAACATGTTAGAACCCTACAACTAGCTTCAAAGAAAAACACCTACTCCTGTTAACACCAAACACACCTGTTCCTATGAACAAAGCACAGTGCCTTTGTGCTCAGGAGGAAGCACAAAAACTTACTAAACAGCCTCGGGCCTACTTAGTAAGTCTTCCCAGACCAGCTACTCCTCTTGTCAAAAATTATGCTTTAATTAATGGTCTGGTGGACTGGCGGGAAACAATGTCATTTATAAAGAGCCTTACAAAAATGAACACCATAAAGAATAAAAAATGTTAAGCGTGCATTTGAATACATGAGGGAAGACGTTTCTCTAAACACAGTAATTCTTAAAAATGTACTCCCTTCTAAGGGCATTAGTTACTTAATATTCAGACTATAGTTGCAAATGATGATTTTGCAAAATGTATCAGATCTTCTCAAACTTTTACTACAAACTAGTACTCAAAATGCTTAGTCTGTACTTCTTAACTATTAACCAATGACTTCTACTGGTTTGCCAAAAGCATGAAATTGGTTTAAATAAAGGATGTGGGGAGGAATGAGCTGGAATGTTAAAAATCTGCAATGGAACGCTAATAGGAACATAACCATGCATTTTCACTGGCTTTGGGTTTTTAATTCCCCAGCAGAACAGGTGTATTTTTCTTGACTGTCTGCTCTAAATAACAAGCAACCAGCCACAATTTGCAATTGCAGATTCTTTAAAGAAGGAATATGACTCGACTTTCAAATATTTTACAATCTACCACTATTCCACCTAGTTCTGTAACACTCCCAAGTCCAGATCAGCAGGATTGTTTTTAAAGCACTTTCCCCACACGGGAGAGGCACGAAAGCCAGGAAGTACTCCAATCCAAGTAAAAGTGCGATTGTAGTTAAAGTAATGATGAGTTTGTGCATAAATGGGGCGGGGGTCCCGTGGGAATGTCCCGTGTGTCTGGCACGTGTGCGATACGTGTGTGAAAGTGAGGAGAGTGGGTTGTTAAAACGTAAATACGGGCTGTCCGGAACGCCCGTCCCAAATGGGCGTGTGATGTTTGTTTCTCGGGCTAACACATCTAGGAACGTCGCGTAGCTTGTGCCCTCCAAGGGAGCGCGTGTGCACCGTGCGTCTACAAACGCGGACAGGTGGGGTTCAACTGTGTAATGCCCTGGGACAGTCTACCTGAACACAAACGACGAATCTGGGTCTCACTCAAGAGACCACAAGCGCCCTCCCTGGGGCTGGGCGCAGCGACGTCGGAGGTGACGGGCACCCTGTGAGGGCCTGCCTGGCTCCGGGTCTCGGAGGATGGACTCTCCTCCTCCCACGTTGCGACACGGCAGTTCTCCACCCACTCCGCCCTTCTCAGTCCGGGCATCCGCTGCACTTACCCCTCTCCAGCCGCACAGGTTCCCCCAGCGCCGCCATCTTCTCCCCTTGCCTGCAGACCCACAGGAAGTGACGACAGAGAGACTGAGGTGAGGGGCGGGGCCTAGCGGGAGCCAGAGGGCGAAGGCCGGACAGTATCGCGAGAGGCAGAGCCGTGGTCTAAGGTTCGCCTGGGCCCCCGTGGGGTGGAGGTACTGAGCGTGGGCGTTGAAAGTGGGTGGGTGTTCTGCCCCACCTTCAGCGGTTCGAAGGTTCCCGAATATCTCAGCCTCCTAAGGTTGGAAGAAACCTTTTCTCGACTGTCGTCATAGATTCAAACCTAATTCTCAACTTCACCATTGGCAGCTCTTTGCTCCCCCACTTTCGGCCTCAGTTTCTCCCTCTGTGTGACAGGAATCCTCAAGGTCTTTTCCGTTTTTAAACTCTGGGATAAGATGACACTTAAATGCAAATGAGATATGTTAAGTAGTGCTTTCATTTTAAAAATCCGAGGAGAAAATCTTGCCTGCAGATCTATTGGAGTGTAGGGATGGACAGTACCAAACTCAGGAAACACGTGTTCAGCGGAACACGTCTTGTTCTGCTGAGCAGGGCATTTGGATGAGCCACGAAATAATTTTTAAAAGTTGATATTTAGAAATCTTATAAAAAGGAAATACTATAAAGTAAATAATATTCTCAATGCCTTACCGATTTCTAGGGAAACTTATGAAAATTTCATGAACCATGAGAGGTTTTGATCCTGAACTTAAATGATAATTCGATTTGCCCAGTATTTAAATTCCACGAACTCTTAGTCAAGCCCTAGAGCGTGCGGATATGTCAGGTGTTCTCACAGACAAGTTTTTAACAACCACCGTTTCCCTTAAGCTGTCATATTTTCTTCCAATGCACCATGAATGTCCCCAACCTACTTTTTTTCCTCCCTTGAACCCTGATTTCATCATTAAAGCTTTCTGTTCAGAAACTTTCAGTGGTTTCTCCATTTTCTATTTCTAAAGACTTTCACGTTCTGACCCCAACCCACCCATCTAACCTCATGTCTAATATCCTTCCAGTGCTACCACCACTCCAGTCCAGGGGGTACAAGAGGCCCCCCCTTATCTGTGGTTTCACTTCCCATGGTTTCAGTTATTTGCATTCAACCGCAGTCCAAAAATATTAAATGGAAAATTCCAGAAATAAATAATTCACAAGTTTTAAATTGTGTGCTATTCTGAGTAGCATCTTGAAATCTCACATTGTCCTGCTCTGTCCCACTCTGGAGATGAATCATCATCCATTTGTCCAGCATCTCTGTGCTGTGTATGCTCCACCCACTAGTCCTGTTGTAGCCTTCTCTATTTACCAGATCCATGTCACAGTGTTTGTGTTCAAGTCTCCTTTACTTAATAATGGCTCCAAAGCGCAAGACTCGTGATGCTGGCAACACCAATATGCCGAAGAGAAGCCATGCAGTGCTTTCTGTAAGTGAAAAGGTAAAAGTTCTTGATATAACAGGGAAGGAGAACCATATTTTGAGGTTGCCAGGATCTGTGATAAGAACAAATCTGTGAAATTGTGAAGAAGAAGAAAAAAGAGATGTGTGCTAGTTTTGCTGTCACACTTTAACCTGCAAAAGTTACGGTGAGTGATAAGGTGGAAAAGGGATTACATTTGTGAGTGGAAGACTCAAATGGAAAATGTGTTCTGATTGACAGCAGCAGGTTGTGCCTGAGAAGCATTGAACCTATAAGAAGACTTCAGCAAGGGAGCCCCTAAAACAAGTGACACTGAACCATTTACATCAAGGAAGGGATGGTTCCACAGATTCAGAAATAGTATTGGCATCTTATCACTTCACATCATTACGAGGAGAGGGATGAGTACAGTATAGTCAGATTTTTTTGTCTAATCTCTCACTGTGCCTGAGTTATAAGTTGATCTTTATCATAGGTATGAATGTATAGGGAAAAAAACATAGTATGTATAGGGCTGGGTACTTGCTGGGTACTTCAGGTCCTTGCTGAAGACATGCCATTTCTATTAAACTTCCTCTTAGCCATACTGTTTCCCTTCTTTGGTCCCTGATGGTCTTTATACCCTACAATAGCGCTCATGTGCTTTCCTCGTATTCAATATTGTACTGCAAGTGTATTCAAGAAATGTTCATCAAATGCCTGATGTCTACCAGATGCCTTAGCAAGCATTGAGAATACCATGTAGAACTAGATAAAAGCAGACATTACCCTTATTTCTTCAAATACTTTCTCTTCCCCATCATCCAGCTCCACTCTTGATGACTCCACTTACATGTATATTCTGCTGCCTGACAGTGCCCCACAGTTCACTGACGCTCTGTTCTCTTTATTTTGTTTTTCCAAGCTTTTCTCTTTCCCTTTTTTCAGTATATAATATATTCCTTTCTTTTAAAAATGTTTTATGGTTGTTCCATATATAATATTTTCTTAATCCCATATAGTTTATTTTTTATCTCAGGTGTTATAGTTTTAATCTCTAGCAGTTTTATTTAGGGGGGTGTGTTTCAATATCTTTCTGTCCTCATTTAACCTGCTGAATCTTTCCTTTAGCTTCTTGAACATATAGAACACAATTATAATGACAGTTTTAATGATCTTGTCTACTAATTCTACCATATGTGTTATTTTCAGCACAACAGTGCTAAATCCAATACATTGATTTTTCTCTTAATTGTGGCTCACAATTTCTTGCTTCTTGCATGACTAGATCTCCTTGTGAAGTTTACTTTTTGGTGGGTGCTGGATATTTTTGTAGTCCTATCAATGTCTTTGAGATTTGTTTTGAAATGCAGATAGGACACTTGAAAATAATATTGTCCTGTTGAGGCTTGATTTTAGGCTTTGGTGTGTGGAACCAGTTCAGCCTTTTGCGTAAAGCTTTGTGTCCCACAGTCGAAGGAGCCATGAATGATGGGATTTGACTCTTCCTAGTGGGAATGGGAATTGTTCTCATGAACTTGAGTTGTGGATTATTTACTTTGCTCGTTTTGAATAATTCTTTCCTTGTACTTGGTAATCTTTTTTTTGGTAATTTCTTAACATACATACTCATCATGAAATTCCAGAATTCTATGAATAAATAGAAAATCCTAAAAGTTTTCAGATAGAATAAAAAGCCACGTTTGAAGGATTAGGAATCAGAACAGTAGGGTAGCATATTCAGATAGTTATATTTGAAGATAAGGAAGAAAAAAGTTTTAGGAGATTTTGATCAAGATATGATTTAATTCACTATCAATACATTTGTATTTAATGCACAAAAGAAATGAAAGAATCAGCTCTTGTGTAAGGAGAGGTCTCCTAAAGTGCCCCTCCTTAGTTCACAAATCCTCAAGGATTAGAGATGGGAGACACCTAGATAGAGAGTCCAACTCCTTTGCCTTACCGAAAATTCATTGCTGTCTCATGTCTCAAGTGCGGTCATTGTGAGCATAACTAAGGCAGAGCTGCTTTAGGTTGTATGCCTGTGTCAGGTCATTAAATTACCAGGCTTTCTATTTCTTTAATCGAGAATTGTTCTTCCTGTGGAAAAACTCTTCACCTGTTGCTTCCTTATATTCCTGCTTCAGAGAAAAAGAGAAACAGTCTTATTAGAATAAAAAGACTGAGCCTAAACAAATCCCAGTGATGCAAATTTAGTCTTTGTATAAAAAAAATAAAGTCCTCAGTGGGCTAAATATGAACGTTTTCTTAAAACATTGCAAATACAATGGATTGGGGCATCAATTAAGAAAAATAAGAAAATGGGTTAGGGAAATTGGGGGTGGGAGACTATCTACAGAAGCTAGGGAAATGGAAAATAATATGAGGAAGCAAGACACTCCAAATGGAGTGTTTACTATATTAATGCCTGTTGAACCATGCACAAATAGGCACTACTGTATAGAACAGACGTTTAAAATAGTTTTGTTTTATTCCAGAATAAAACATTACTCTGAACTAAAGTATATTCAGGCATCTATCAGTACAATTAAAGTCTCAGTTTTCTTTCTTTTTCCAATGGAGTTTTTATAATATACTTCTCAGAAAAGCAAAATTTTACCTGAATGGCTGGCTTCCTTTATTTTCTATGAATGATATCATCACATGTGAGTTAGCTTGAATGTTAACATAAACTAAACAATATATAAAAACATGTGGTCTAATTAATGAAGCATAACAAAGTGGAGAAATCTCTTCAAAAACATCATTTGATGGGAGGTCTTCTTAATTACAGATCTCAGGTCGGAACACAAAGTCCCATCTCTGAGTACCAGCGATGTGTAGTAAAGCCCCCTGCTTTTCGTTAGGGTAAGTTGCAGATTCTATTAAAATGTAAGGGTTTACTTTTTTAATGTCAGTTGTTTCATCATCACTCCACAGTACATGTAAAGGCACAGATTGATGTATTTTTCTGGCATCTTTCTGACGCACCCTTGCCCTAAATAAATCTGTTTGCCAGGATCTTGTTGCTTAAATTAGCCATCTCAAACTCTTGGTCCTGCCAACACAGGCAGTTGTGCCAATGTTCTCAGCATCTACTGGCACACGAGCTGTTGCCTTCTCTTTGGCTTTCTGTGTCTACCTGGGGCCATCATCCTTCCTTCACAAGGCAGCCTGCCTTATGTGTCTCTGAGACAGACCTCAGTATTGTTTGGACTCACTCTGGTTCTCTCCAGGGTACGCATCCCGCACAATATATTTTCAGCCACACGATATATTGTTCAGACTTTGTCATGCATTTACTTGCAGATTGGCAGAGCCACCTGCCAGAGATGAGAACCTTTTAAGTTGTTGTCGTCAAACGTCATAAAATGTGTTCCATGATTAATTTTGTGGGCCCAGATTGGTTTTTGCACGGAGTCCAAAATTTGGGATATGTCACAGTGACTAAATGGCACCGGCATGCTGAATGAATTTGGAATTTGTTTTGTCAAGTGTGGGAGCAGGCACACAGATGGGCTTTGATCCAGTGGTGCTGCTTGGAATTCTCATTATAGCAATGATGTCACTTATCACGTGGAGGGGTGATCATGCTGCAAAATTATGGACAAAGCAAGGCAAA